ATACATTAGTATGTGATGACCCAGCAAGTGTCATATACTCAAATGACAAATCATTAATATACAAAATCTATTTCATATGAAACTATATATGTATAGTTATCATTTTACACTTAATTTTACTTTATTCAAACCACATATTAGTTTCTGCAGTGCAGAGTAACCATTATACACTTCTTATCAGAAAGGAGATTACACAGACTTATACCCTTATTATAAATTTACGTACATGTAACTCTTGTCATGGCAACTCATATGCTGATTGAGGAGGGTGACTGGTTAGCTTACGACATGTATTAAACAGCCCACAAGCCACCCTACGATACCATCTTGGAAACCAAGGCAACGCAAATCCTCTCTAGGCATCAACTAAATCATCAAATAGCTGTAAAAAACACCTGACTCTTGTTTAGCAGTTATCAGACTAAATGAACTGTGTGTGTTTTGTGTGCTACCAATGAATAGCATAGAATTGCAAAATTGTGACAATAAATACTACCCTGATTACTGATTCTATGTTTACATTTGGAATGTAATAAATTATTTTTCATTTAACGTGCTGGAATATTAAAGAGATAGTTCACCCAAAAATGAAAATTCTGTCATCATTTACTCAACCTCATGTCATTTCAAGACTGTATGAGTGACTTTTATCTACAGAACAGAATTATTTTTTTTATACTGTGTAATATAGACAACAGTCTCCAAAGTTGTGTGGTTACAAACAATACTCAAAATATCTTCTTTTGTGTTCCACAGAAGAAAAAAAAGTGACACGGGTTTGGAACAACACCAGGTGAGTAAATGATGACAGAATTTTTTATTTCTGGGTGAACCATCTCTTTAAATAAATCCTGGCGCTCCTCTTGAATGACAGTAACATGGGTTTCTATGTAGTTTTCAGAATTTATAGACAATATTTATACTTTTTCTGAAGCTAAGGAAATGAAGAGGAGTTATTTGTAGACAAAAAATACACATACAGTAGTACATTAACTTTCAATAAAACGCACAAAAAACAAATCAACACAAACTTACAGGAAGAACAACAGGAACAGGAACAGGAACTTAATCTTAATATTTTACTTGAATTCTACATATAAAGTCATATTTATCATTAGGTGAAATTATTCCACGTCATTATAAATCTCACGTTTGGAAGCAGTTTTGATGAGAAATTATGATATGCATCTCGGTAGAAGTCGAAGGCCTGAACAGGTGGCAGGGCAAAGCCCTTCACATCCAGAGAAAGATCACTGATAAAGCCCACAATGACAAGAGTCACGTTGCTCCGGTGTCAGTCTCTTTAACAGGAGACAAAACACTATGCTTCCTTAGAAATCCAATGGGATGGCTCTTCGGAAAAAAAAAATCACATGAGTAATTGGAAGCCTATAAGTCGACTATATAACGTCTGTTTTAAAAGCAGTGGAAAGACCCAATTCTACTTGGACCTGCTTGGCTGATATCCAACAGAGATAGCACTTATAAAAAATGTATAAAGAGTACACCTTAATCATTTGTTCATGGAAGCAGTCGACTGGGACAGCCATGCACTAATGCTTTGTGACTCAATAGTCTACCTTTTTTCCCCTAACAGCCAATTTGAGTCTGATTATTATGCTTATACAGATCAGGAGGCCCCAAGAGAAGATAGAGGTCTATGAGTGACTCTCAATAGAAGAGAGGGGCCCCTGGGCCTCACAGGTGAGGATGTCTGAACACACAATCAGTCTTATCTCTTCACATGCTGTCTGATGCCTTCTTGTACTATCAGTTCCGTCAATTGCTATCCTGTATCACCCGCTTGAGAATAATCAGAATATGATTCAGGACGACAGTGTCTCGTGGAGGAGCAGTCCATGCGGCCGCCTGGAGGGTGCCGTTTTAAAACTGAAATAACCGTGTCTTCTAACCTTACAATCTTTCCAGCGAGAGCATAATTTATATACAGACGCAATGTATATTTAATGACTCACTTCTTTACAAAAGCAGCATTGTTGTCTTTCTTTTAAGACAACTAATTAAAATACTGCATATATAATTTGCTGTCTTTTGCTTTCATAAGCACTGATGCATCATTTCTCATCTAGGAGAAAATCCTTCAATCCATCAATCATCCTATCTGTCTATATCTATCAACATTTCAGTGGTGTAATGTAACGAATGATGCATCTTCGATGATTCATTTCCCATTCAAGTCGAGGCTGGTGTCTGCGATATATACATCGTCTGCGATAATATGGTAAGTGTTGTGATGAGCGATCTGACATTATCAAGTAGGCTATATCACCAAATCACACACAGAGGGCACGCACATAGGTTTATTAGTCTATTAAAACTCAAAATTCCAGGCATTCTAAATTGTAGACGGCAAAAATGCTTCTGTATGCGTTTTATATTTATATAATTTAATATAGTTAACTTAATCTATATCACACAAAGAGTTGAAAGACACTAAGTACTAGATGAAGTGCTTCTTATTCTTACCCAAAAATACCAAATGGAAGAAAGAGTTAAAACTGAACACAATCTTGCTACTCAAGCTGTTTTAACATTTTTATATATATATTTATTTGCGTCTTTTCCATTTTGCATTTACTTGTACTTTTACTTTCAATACTTAAGTACGTTTAAGATTTAAAAATACTTTTCGTACTTAAGTACAATAAATATCACATACTTGTCACATTCTGGTAAGATATATGTACTTTTACTTGAGTATGGCTTTCAGGTACTTTATACAACACTGGTTGAATTTCTGTCTCACCTCATAGAACTTTATATAACACTCATTCCAAGGATTCCAAAACTTTTCTTGTCATGTTTTTTTTTTAACGTTTTGATCATTTTATTGTTAGCTTTTATCAACTCACAAACCCGCAGGTATGAATAGTTAGTTCCTGCTGTGTCTGTGTTAAATATGGAATGTTTCTTCTAAACTGATTCCCATGAGCTTCATATCGCTACTCCATAAAATTGAAATTGAAACCTAAGACAATAGTGCAACATTTTATAAATCAATTTTTGTGTGCAAACTGACCTGATACACCACATTTTCCAATATCTTTAAGAGACTAAGAGAAGTATGAGGTTGTGAAGAGCATGTGGTTCAGATGTGAAATATTTTGGAGGTATTTGACCTATGCCGTAATTTATCTTCAAAAGAAATATTTCCATGAGGCTGCTCAGGCTGTCAGATTGTGAGGGGTCTCGCACACCAGCATTATATTGGAGATTGCAGGCAGAACAATCACACCTAGCATGGCTGTCTCTATCCTCTACTACCCCCATTATGAGTGTTTATATTGAATCTAATACTGATTCTCCCAGGAGGAAAAGGACCAAAAATATTAGGCTTCAAGGCAAAAGTGCAGAGACAGATTTTTCAATGAAGGATAATTGTACAATGATACAGAAAATGTTACTCGATAACAGAATACAATCCCTCATCTTCCTGGAGGATCCATATAAATGATCTCAAATAATCATCCCATCAATATTTCTGTTCGACAACAAGGACAATGTCACAAGAGAAGCATTTAGAGCTAAACAATGCCAGAGGACGTGTCAAAAAAGTGTTACTGTGTCAAGACACAAAAGAGGCATTATTTGAATAAACATCTTTGTTTACCAATAACAATAATCAACAATAACACAACCATCATAATGAATAGCAGTCCTGCTTGTTTAACACAGCGGGGGTTAATTCAATCAGTAAACTCAAACCATTGCGGGTGAAACTAAACTAATTTAGAGCTACTCATTTCAGACATCTAAACAGAGATGCCACAACTAATTAAGGCACTAATAGGACAAACCGCTTTCCCTGTGACATGATTATGTGCTACCTAATAATGATGTGGGGAATCTGCAAGACGGCCTGGTTCAAGGTCCCATGTGGGAAAGCAGGCATGTCATGGGTGTCCTAGTATTTAACCTGTCCACCAATAAGCCACTTTGCCTTGACTCCATCACACTGGCACTTTTATGAGTGCACATGAAAGAGATTAACGACTACGTCGGACGGGCATCTAGAATGCAAATGATTCACCTGCGCATTCCCCGCGCGATGTGTTGCATTGCTGCAAATTATGGGACGTTATTTACTTGCTTTGCAGATGCCCACACAAAGGGCAACTTAACATCGCAAACAGCTTTACATATGGACCATTTAGACCGAACCGTAAGGCACCTCCTTTTAACCTACACCCCTTCAGCAGCACATTGCCTCTGAATCATTGCACCGTTGCACTCCAGAAGCCCTGCTTGGGGAATTGAGCAGTTCAGTTCCTTGATAGCGCACTGAAAAAGATTAAGCCCACATTTTATAAGACTACTTCCTGATTTGACTAAGAAGAAAGTGTTGTGAAAGGTTTGGAAAAATGCTCTTGATATGAAGGGCTGAAGGGCCTCTATAGCAATACATAGTCTGACAATTCTAAAGGCTGCAATACACTACTATACATTTGTACAGATTTTTGCCCCGATTTGCTATCTGGATGGATCAGTGATAGTTGCTGAAAGTCAGAGCCAGTCTGCAGAATTTGGAAAGGTGGAGTTGACAGATTTCACAGAAAATGGCATGCTGTATGATGGGCAAAGACTGATATTTTAGCTTCATACCATGAATCCATCAAGCTGGAGGATATGAAGCTTGATATTTTAGAACAAATATTGTTTGTCATGTGTCTCCAAGCAATAAGACATATATTTCTGTGTGAGTTTGTTGTGTTCAGAATAACTTTTGGGAAGTGTATGATGCCTAGTGTTTTAAAATCGGTTCCATTTTTAAAAGTCATGTATTGTATTCTAGCCTCAAGTAAAAAACTGTAAAAAAAAAACAAAAAAAGGGCTATTGGTGATAATGTATCTGTTTAGAGGGCAATATCTACTTCTGAACAGTCAAACTTCATACAAACACACGCACACACAAAACAATGTGCCACCTCATCCACACATTCATTTTTTATTTGTTTATGACTATCATGGTTGCTCTCATACAACAATACAAAAACACACTTGGCCTCAGTGCTCTCCTGCTTGTAGAAATCTAGAGAACATTGACCTTTGTCATGTGCGATCAGCGAGTTTTCGGTCAGAGTTGCTGTCAAAACACTCTGCAAACATGCAAAAAACAAAAACAAGCTTGACTGAAAACCACTGAATAGGCACCTCAGCGATTATGCATATTACCCAGAGACACTGATTCCGGTCCTCTTCAGTTTATGTGATGGGTAGAGGGCAGTGGGTTCTCTGATAAGCATGGGAAAAACACAGAATCATTCACTCAAATATGTTCGCAACATCTGAATTTAAATAAACCAAGCCAAAAAAAATATATAATTACATATATATATACACACACTGCAACCTATATGTTGCACATACATGGGCTATAAATTATTTCAGTGGCTTTAGTTTGACAGGACTACATTGGTGCTTCTTCTAAAGCAATAATAATCAGGGCAAATGATTCCTCTGTTATTGTAATAGTATACTGGCAATAAAAAAAATAAAAATCTATAATTATTTTTAAAACTATTAAAAAGCAATTCAAGATGATTTTGCTAGACAACTGCATATGGGTAAAATATTCCTATTTGACCCATATGAACAAAATCTTAAAATTCTCTAAAGTCAGTAATATCAAAAACCTCATGCATCAACAAAATAAAACAAAAATGTACAAACAAAAGGCTAGTGGATGAGCCTAAACATCCAGTCTATTTTTTGTCTTCATCCATTCAATGAAAAATATTACTTCCGTCAGTCTGGTCAATGTGTTTTTATGCTTGAACAAAATATTAATTTTTAGCTTGCTTAGGCTAGAAATATAATTGAATTCTGATTTTTTTTGTTTTTCTTATTCCATGTCTTTGTTTGCTCATGCTGCAAAATGGAAGGCACTTGTTTGCCAAAGGGGCCGAGAGCCTTGTCCATTTTGACATTCACATTCTAGCAGTAATGATCCTAAAAGCTGCAATTAAGCTGACTGTCACATCCCGGGGAGCACGCGAGCAGCAGCACAAGGTCTTGTCCTCGAGAGCTGCATCCATTGCGCCTGCCCAGGAAAATTCCCTCAACACATAATTTTTCCAACCCCCCTCTCCTTTTCTCCTCGCTTTCCCTGTTCTTTTATTACAGCCTTCATCTAGATTTTTGTAGTGGCCATGCACATATATGTGGTGTTTTTTTTTTTAGTTAATGTCATGTTTTTAAAAAAACTATATGCATTATTTATATGCGTAAAAAAGCTTTTAATTCAATTCAATTGAATTAAATGTAAAATGGACTACATTTTCATCTGTTTTGTGCCTTTGAATAGACTGATGTTCTAAAGCAACATCATGTTCTATCTGAATAAAAATTCCCAGCGGTGATCAGATCATTCCCTGTTGATTCCTAAAAGAGAAAAACAGAAATGCAGTCAAAAGCAAGCAGCTGGAGTGCCATGACTTATTATTTCTCTTTTTGCGTTTGATGCCTGGGCCCACTCCTCTGGAGATGAAACGAAAACTCTCTGTTATAAAATCATGAAAAGGATATGGACAACACCAGGTGGGCAAATCTATCAAAACCCCCGGCATACACACATGCGAGGGTACGCACATAAAGGGGGTAAAATCATTTTAATTAGCTGAGTGAATGTGATTTGCTGAATGCGGGGAACTAGGTTCTGCACACATTAAAATTGGTCTAATTTTCTGCAAAAAGTCCCATCTGAGTGGACCTGGCCACAGTCAATCAAGTTAAAAGCTACGGGTGCTTAATTTGATTTACCAATATAAAATGCAAATGAGGTGATTAAGTGGAGAGGGGAGGCAGAGTAGGAGCCTCTTTTAAACCATCAAGTTAAATGTGAACAGACATCGGACTGGCAGCAGCAAGAATGTTTTAGCATATTCGTTTGATTAGAGGTACAGAAATTTAATTAGTGTGGCTAATTGCTTGACAAATTGCAGAACACTCCTGAAAAGGCAAATTTTTTTTTTAAACTGTGTAAAACCCCCTCCGTGTGGAAATTTTGTCCAAATGGCCCCTATGCCAATATGTGAAAAGCATAATTAAATAAATGGAAGAAGGCACAACAGTACCTTACAATAGCAAATGAGATAATGCCTGTAATTAGGCGGGACACAAGTCTATGTCCATATGCCATGTTTCTCTTCAGCTACTCTCCGTTCCTCTCATAGGACAAATCTAATAAGCCTCCTTAACTAGGTGAGGCTCTCCTGGGATACTGAAGAGCTGTCGGTCTGAGCCGTAGTACCGGAGCACTAATCAGAGTATGATGCACATAGTCAAGCCAAGCTCCTGTGCTACAACAAACATGTTTTGTTTTGTTTTGCACAAAGAGCTATATGTTTATGTGGTATATTACTTTTTTTATATTATCCACATAAACGCAAATCTCTTTTACATATAATTATTTACTTACAAAAACATACAGTAGCAAAACATTTTCAAATTTTCCTTAACAAAATAACAGAATGACGGTGGATATTCTTCATACCTTTTAGCTCTTTAGTATGTTGTAGTCTCAGCCTCCAAAAATTGGCCATCCCATTCTTATTGGCAGGCTATAAAGCAATTTCCGGCAGCCAGGGTTCTCCAGTGCACCTGGAAACGAAGATCTGTTTACAAGAAACTGTGCTGATAAAGCAAGTGCTCTAGAGGAAAGTTTAAAGACTGTAGAATACTGGTCAAATGCTTGCGGCATTAAGGAGTAAGGTCGAACTCTTGGCCAGTGGATCTGGGCCAGAATAAGCTGCAATTCATGATAAAAAAAAGTCAAGTTATCCAGTATAACACACAATTGTTGTTTTTAACAGTGAAGGACAATTCAGAAAAGCTTCCTTACTTGCTTACATTTCATAATGCCCCAAATTCGTGAGTAAATTCCAGCCAATATTAATATTCTTTACATTATTGTTTTATTAAATTTTAAAACTATCCACGCAGTAGCCTACAGATTCATAATCATGCACAAGCATGAAAATATAAATATAGGCCTATAATTGTGCTACTAATCCTATAAGGTCCGGTTTTATTACTCTTTCAATGCCTTGTTTCTCTTATTTAATAGAAGAAACGTATAATTACATTAACCCACCATCATCAGTTGTACACTATTGTAGCAGCTACATATTTTGTTTATGATAAAAACACCAAATAGCCTACTATAAGATGTATGTAAAAATCGATTACTGTTATCATAAATATCTAATAGCCTACCTTTTTTATTTATTTATTTTATTCTTCTTTTTTTTGTAGTCCTGGAACAGATGCCTTTGCGTCATGACGCATGTAGTTAATTGTATGTATACCCTGGAAAAGAGCCTGCAAACATGTTGTGTTTGCGCTGCATTAGGGATTAATCATTTTAATAAACTTGTATCAGGAACTGCAGAAAGATATCGCACTACGTGAGCAGAGATTTAACAACAGTCGCATCAAACTACGCAGAAGCAGCGTCACTACGTAACCGCGCAACCGGCCATTTTCTCGCGTCGAGTGAAGAGCTTCAAGGTGTCTGTTGATAAAAAGGTAAGAGTACGAAAAAGTGAAAAGTTATAATTATTTTTGGTTTCTACTAGTCGAGTTGTTACAAAAACAGCTTTACTGTATATATTCGATATTAACATTTACATATAGAAACTTTTTGGATGTTGTAAGCCTACTTTTCTGAACTGGATTCTTCCATAGTGTTAGCTATGATGAATGTGTTTAACAATGAATGTGTTTATCACCTGCCTTAATACATTACGCAAAAAAGTAACTTTGCTAGGATATGTTTTGTTTTAGTAGTTGCGGTGCAATGTATCATGTTTTGTTTCCGTTAGAATGATTTAATCATGAGATATTTTATTAAGACATTAAATATATAAATAATTAGCCTACATGTAATATATAAAGTTTTTTGCTTGATCAGCCATGACTTGCTATAGTCAGCAAAGTCAGAACTTATTTTTAGTCAGTTGCATTAGGGGCGGGGCATTCTCACTCTGGGGGGCATTTGATTGGATACAAATCTGTGTGGTGCAGGATGAGTCATATATTATATTATATTATATTTAGTGCTGTCAAGCGATTAATTGCATCCAAAATAAAAGATTTGTTACATAATATATGTATGTGTACTGTGTATTATGTATATATAAATACACAAACATACTGTATATATTTTGAAAATATTTACATGTATATACATTTATATTCTTATATTTTATATTATCTATAAATATATAAACATCATATTTTGTTGCATACATGCATGTGTTTGTATATATACATAATAAATATACACAGTATGCACACATATATGTTAACAAAAACTTTTATTTTGGATGCGATTAATTGCTTGACAGCACTAATTATATTATATTATATTATATTATATTATATTATAGGTTGTGAGATTCTGATAGTGTAATACTGTTGCTGTATAATGACTTTTTCAAACTGGTTTCACTCATTTCGGTGAAGCAAATGCTGTTGTGTTTGGGCAGGTTAGGATGCTTAAACAAACAGACCAATGTTTTGTTTTGTTTAGTTTTTTTAACAGTGTTATATTATAGCCTACTAATGTTTTTATAAAGTACAAGTGTGAGGATACACTTATCATTTACAGTCATTCACAGCCATAATCTAAGATGGCATATGGTTATATACATTTTGAATATAAATGATACAAACTCACTGTTTTATTTAAACATTTGTGCTTGACTCACTTTCTATAAAAAGTCACAAAATGATCTACAGTTATCTTACTGGCTTAAATAACGGTCTACAAGTAACATTTATAACATTAGCAATTAGATTAGATGAAATATGACATGGCAGTACTATATTTGAAGGTGTCCCACTTTTTGCATTAGGCTCGTTGTCACGCAGTGTTGGTTAAGTGTTATTCAGTCACTCACCTTGTCACCTTTGCTCATTATTGTTCGTGAATAGCTTAAAATGTTCTGTGACCTATTCATTTGCATTTTCAAGTAGTTTACTTAAACTATATAAACTGTACTCAGCAGACAAGAGTTCAGTTTTTTCCTGGGTATCACATGCATTGTCAGATCAATTCAGATGAGCTTGTTCCTGACTTTTCTTTGCGATAAATATGAAGTGATGGCAATAAAATGGTGTGCCTCTTGTCATTATTAGTAGAAATTATTTGAGATGGAATTTTACAAGCGAAGGTTTTTGACATGAAAGTACATGTGAGTAGACTCAGTTTTCATCGAAGACAGCCCTCCATCTTCTTTGAGATAATTATGGTGTTCAGAAGACAGTAGTAGAGATGATATCACCTAAATAGGTAGATATTGGATGTTCCCTGTCAGAGATAATGAAATGTTGAAGAGTTTCTCATCACTCAAAGCTAAAAAGACAGAGAACCGGCACTAAATAACCAGTTTGTAATAGAAAACCCAACAACTTAGGCTTTGTTTGAACAAGATAATGAGCACTGTCATTTTAAAGATACATACTCCATTCTGTGATTGACGACAACTGGTAAATCCTGATCAGAATCCTCATTTACATATGTTATATGTCATAAATGTCAACATCTAAATTACACCTTGTGCTTACGTCAGTCACTGTCAACATGACATTCAACAAATCTTATTTTGGCATGATTATTTTGAAGCAAAAACATCTCAATGCCTCATGTGTAACCAGGGAAATGGCTGTAACATTTGAGGCAGATTTTCATTTAGGCTAAATGTCAAAAAGTAAACTGGCTACCAAGACACAGGGCTACAACAGACATTCTCAGTGCTCTGTCAAAATGGACAAAAATTGCAGCTGTGTTAATAGAGATAAAGACTGGCCTGCTGAGACATAAATGCCGTCCTTCGCTGGTCTGACATTAAGGAGCACAGTGACTCAAATTGAGGTAAAATTGGATACCATGGCTCTCTCTCTCTCTGGTCATAAAATGTGTAGACTGTATTTAAAGATGCAATCAGTAATTGCCAATACACAACTACCATTTTCATTAAAATGTCTAAAGCTAGAAACAAAGTAATGGATTTGACAGCATACTTACGGATAAGAAGATTTAGAGTCTGTATGATTATTATGATTGCAACTTACAAAAAAAAAAAAACTTTATTTGGGTTGGATTTGCAAGTAAGTTTCATCATTTTGTTGTGTTTTTGTCAGAGCATTGACTTTTTGCATCTTAAACTAGCGTAGACCGAAGTCCCTTAAAAGGAAAGTTCACCCAAAAATTAAAATTACCACATGATTTACTCACCCTCCAGGCATCCTAGTTGTATATTACTTTTTTCTAATGATTCTTCTTTCAGACGAATACAATCAGAGTTATATTTAAAAATGTCCTGGCTCTTCCAAGCTTTATAATGGCAGTGAATGGGGGTTGAGATTTTGAAAGCCCAAAAAAGTGCATCAATAGTACTCCACACGGGGTTAATAAAGGCCTTCTGAAGAGGCCTTCTCACTTCTCTGATGAGAAGGACAAACGCGGAAGCACGGAAAAGAGAGAGCAAAACAAAACACCGGTCATGAATTAGAAGTCCAAAATGAGGATTTGCAAAGAAAAAGGATTTTGATATAAGCCAAGAGGAGATATGTTTTCCTTTGCTGTAAACAAAACTTGGTTCTCACGAGACTAGCATATTCTCACCAGAGTTTATGCTACGCCTCCGTCCTACGTCATCCACACAGTTAGTGGAAGCTATAGATCATGGTTTGTGAAGTTTTAAATATGGATGGTTTTCCTACACAAAGACATCGCTTTGCTTCAGTGGGGCTTTATTAACCCCCGGGAGCCATGCAGTGTACTTTTATGATGGCTTGAGGGCGAGTAAATCATGGGGTGATTTTCATTTTTGGGTGAACTATCCCTTTAACTTTGTAAAAGTTTTAAAGGTCATGCACTCAGAAGTAGACAGCCGGTGGTCTACTTACTGTAGAGAGGGGACTCTTGTACATATGTTAGGGTCTTGTCTTGAGCTGCTCTACTGAAGGAGCTGTGTTTAGAATATTGATAGGCACTACACTGAGAGATTGCAGGACTCTTGTCAACAACTGACTGACATGAGCTGTTAACATGCTATTTTCAGCCTCTGCCTTTTCACTGTGGCATTCTCGTTAGAAGACCACAGAAAATCTTGTGTTTGTTCTCTTCTGTCTCTTCTTGAGGTAATCCTTTCTTTACCTTTCTTTCTGTATTCCTGTATTGATGTAGCGAGCTCAACTTTCAGGAAAACCACACAGGCCCTTTCTATTGAATCCAATGCATCTTGACTGTCTATATGACCGGTTGAGGACTTTATATCAGTTTAACACTAATAAATACTCTGCATCATAATAGTTCAAACGTTACCGTAAACAATATTTTTACCATTCAAAAAGTCCACCAAGACCTTTATTCACATATTATTCTCATTAACCTTATGGCAGATTTTAGTACAAGCGGCATTTTCTTTCTTTCTCTCAACAGTTTTATGCAGGAAGGGAGGGACACATTTGAATAGATGACAGAGCACAAAAGCCATGTCTTTCAGCGCTGTCAGGGTGTTGATAAAAATCAGAAGAAAAGAGTCTTTAGGTTTGATGCCTAAGTGTGGACCCAAGGGTGCACATGACC